GGGGAAGACATCCTGATAGCCGTGGTGTACGTGGACGACATGATCGTGGCATCGAAGAACGATCAGGACATCTCCAAGTTATTCGATTTCTTGTCGACAAAATTCAAAGTCAGGAATTTGGGACCTATCAAATACTGTCTCGGGATCGAATTTTCTCAGAACCAAGAGATAATATCACTTAGCCAAAGAGGATACCTGGACGATGTGTTGCGGCGTTTTGGAATGTTGGAATCGAAATCCGTCGGAAGTCCATTAGATCCCGGTGCAAGGCTGAAAAGAGGTGAAGAACCTGTCCTTATGAGTAGGAATTTCCTTATCGCGAGTTGGTCGGAGCCATGATGTATTTGGCGGTATGCACCAGACCCGACATTGCCCACGCTGTCAGCTACTTAAGCCAATACAATGATTGCCACGACTCGAGTCATTGGTCGGCCGCCAAGCGCGTACTAAGGTACTTGAAGGGCACTAGAAATGTCGGGCTATCATTCAAGAAGACGACAAAGTCCCTCATCGGCTATGTGGATGCCAATTGGGCCAACTGTTTAGACGATAGGAAGTCTTATACTGGTTTTGTCTTCATGATGGCCGGGAATCCCATCTCGTGGGAATCACGAAAGCAACCAACCACCGCTCTCTCTTCCACAGAGGCCGAGTATATGGCTTTGAGTGAAGCCACCAAAGAAGCGGTGTATCTTCAAAGTTTTCTCTTGGAGCTTGGCATGACAGCCGTTCAGAAGGTGAAGCTGTTCAGCGACAACTGTGGAGCCATCAAATTAGCCGATAATCCCATTCATCACAATCGATCTAAGCATATCGATGTGAGACACCATTTCGTGCGAGGAGCACTTCAGAGCGGTCGCATCGAAGTTGTTTACAAGCCAACGGAACACATGGCCGCCGATGTCTTGACTAAGGGATTGTCCAGATCTAAACATCGGAAATGTACCGAGTTATTAGGCTTAAGGTTTGACGACGTTGAGATCAACTATTGCCCGAGTCTCGAGGGGAAGTGTTGAAGTCGGTAACGATAATCTTAGCGATATGCGGACAATTTGGCGCGCCATCTGTATATGCGTACTGAGAGCACTATCCATCATGCGTACATTCATCTACGTTATGTTCTTCTTTCGTGTTCTTTTTCGTCCTCCTGTATTCCGTTATATACGCGCGCACTCAACTACACAATAAACCTTGTCAGTTTTGTGATCCCGTGTTATTCGCTTTCAACCCCTGCCTACTCTTTAGTCACAACGACAGGCACAATCCCGCCCCAGGACCCCACACGCCGGGAAACGGCTCCCGAGTGAGTCCCTTCACCACGACAAAGTGGTATCCCGCGAGGGGGTCATCCGTGGAACTTGCAAAAATTTCAAATTTTTCAAATTCCGATCTCGATATTTCTGATTGGGGGATCAATGAATCTCGAAGAGAGGAACAACTTTGCTACTCATGCCCACCTCTTTATGGTGACCCCCACGCCTGGAACTTAGATTATATGTTCTCAAAGTTACAAAAATTTTCCTGGTCAAACGGTGAGAGATACAAGGGTGGACCATGACTTTTTCTTCTCTTGTGGCCTACTGTACAAGAAAATTATCGAACTTTCTTTTTTCAAAATTTTTCATTTTTTTTTAACTTTGGCGCCGTCTAGCTCGGAAACGAATATGTATCTCGATGGTAACCCATAAGATCTTTTATTAGTGCTCATCGACATCTACATGGAGGCACCTTTGAAAGTTCTGAGATCGAAAATTTTTCGATCACGAAAATCTTGTTTCCAAGATCACTTAAAAGTTCGAGGCGGGATCCGCATCATGAAGAGATAATAGAGGGCGATGTCCCCTACAAGAAAAAATTATTTCAAAAAAATCTATTTTTGGACAAATCCATTATACCTTATACCGACATCTCGGCCGGCTGCCCCCGCCAGATAGCGCTGACGACGGCTCCGATCGCGGAGGACGGCACAGGCGGAACCCTCACCACGACAAGGTGGCGCACCACGTGGGAGCGCAAAACCAATCTTAATAAGGCCACTTGTTTTGCTCGGACCAATCAGAGAGCTCGATTCATAGGATATATATCAAATCGTGCGAAAACAACCTTAAAAAGACCTTCTATTTTGTTCGGGTCAATCAGAGTTTAATTCATAGGAAATTTACTGAGTCGCATGAAACCATTCTTAAAAAAGCTGTTATTCTCGGGCCAGTCAGAAAGATTGATTCATTGGGACTTTATCGAATCGCGCGAAAATAACTTTAAAAAGGCCACCTGTTTTGCTCGGACCAATCAGATGACTTGATTCATATAAATTTTACGAAATTTCGCGAAACTAATTTTTGTTCAGCGGATTTGGAGCACACGGCGAATATTTTCTTTACTGTAAAATGTTTAAAGATTTATTTTGAAAATGTTTGATTACATTTAAAAAAGTACAATTTTCATTTATGAAAACGTTAATAAATTTATGCTTAATAAAGTAATAGGTGAAATGTGCTAAAAAGCAATGTATAATACGCAGGCCAATCAGAGAGCTTGATTTATAGGGAGTACGGTCTACTTGATGCTACTGTTACGTCTCAGGAAGATCCGACCGCTTCCCGGTTTTGATCTAACCTGAGGCTATGTGTGGGATACGGAATTCGCAGTTCCGGGTATTGAACCAAGCTACGATTGATTTTGTCCAACGTACTGATTGGTCAAATACGAGCGCTTGATATGGCGATTATTGTCGATTCTGAGTCGTTCCACGGTTGCTCCCCCATTCCTCTCAAATATCAAGAATCTTTCTAGAACTCCTGGGCACTCGGAGCAACTAATGAGCGCGCGCAGCGTAACGAGTATTAAGGAGCACGCGTGGCAAGTTTCAAACCGCTCAGGGAGACCGAGGTGAACATAATGCCGCAAAACTCCGAAATAATTCTCTTTTTCGTGAATGGGTAAAGAAGTATAACATTCGGTACATTTGGTTATCCCGCTCTCCTTATACAGATAAAATAGGGCGGATACACAACTAGCGCTACGGAGCTATGCGACGTAAGGATTAACCGCTAGGAGTCGAGGATCAATAGGGGCGCGCGAACGCGGGAACACCGGACACATGCTCCACGGTTCATCCGCGGCGAGTTCTCAGTTAACGGAGAATAAAATGAAACTTTCTTACCTTTAGATGTTCGAATGGGCGTCACCTGTTGTTTCCAAATATCGAAGGAAATGGATGATCAGTGCAACAGGCCTCTGCAGCTCCCCAAGGTGGATCAATTGTTGGTTCAGGGCCCTGCCAACAGGCAGCTCTTTCTCTTTCACTAGTACGAGTGATCACTCCCGGAATGTTCTGAGGAGAACGAAGTTATTGAGGAGATGGAGGAATCCACAAAATGCTCAGTCGAGTTAAATTATTTAAGTGTATATTTTATAATTATTCACACCGATACATCGGCTACAAGTAGTGTATTAATTACTAATTACTTCTAGGATTAAACAATTAGAATTAACGCTTCTATATCTAGAGATAAGAGTTAACGCCTTTAGAATTAGAAAATAGAAGAACTAATGCTTTTTGAATTAGAAATTGAATTTCGCACGTGGTGCTTAAACTAGAAACGGTAGGTCGGAATGGAAGGAGCCAACGATTTTGAGCACGACTGTACTGCTCGACGCGCACTATTACTCTGAGGTCTCTCTTAGGTTTTTACCTATGGTCGTCTTCGAAGTCCCCTTCCACCAATCGTGCTGCTGTTGATGGGAAGAAGAGTTAGGTGCATTCTAGAGATACCCGTGCATTCGAGTCTGCAAGCAAGTCTGTTCGAAAAATGATTACTGGACAAAATGAAATTTTGCGGACGTGACATTACGAATAATTCGAAACATTTTTTGATTAGTCAGTTAGTAAAATTCTTTCTTATTGTTCAATCAATAGTTTTGAAGCATTCGTAGCCTCAAGTGTAAAGCTCTATATGTACCAAATTAGCGCACATGTCCTCCATTTTGACCTACTAATCGTATTCTATATTAATAATACTTAGCGTTTATTGGACTACAAACAACTAAATTGAAATGACAGTCGAAATAGCTAATAAAAAGGCTGTCGGCGTTTCGGCTCAGATAAAAGGAATAAGCTACTTTAGTATATTTAGAATTTCATGCTTAGTTTAGATTGGACGCAGCAAGCGTCAAGCAGCAGAGTAGCAACCAATCAGCAAGGCGGTATTTTTTACGCCACTGTAAATATCGTTTCACTTGCTGGCTT